AAAGATGCTTATCCGATTGAACAAGTCGACTATTCGTGGAAAGACAAAGATAAGAGAGGTATTGTCATTCTTGAAGACCAAATGAACGAGTTCACCTTGAGAGAGATCAAGACCAGAAGAGCAATAGTACTTTATGGGACCCGCGGTTCCAGTAAGTACTCGATTTATTAAATCACAGTTATGGGAACTAACCTTAGTCTTAGTGAGCATTTGTTACTGCAGGATTAGCCCAGCGATGGGTCGGTCGATCGATTGCTCAATTGTCAGGCACTGATGATCGCCTTGTTGGTTTTAAAATTGTTTTCTTTTATATCACAGTTTTATGAGCACACAGGAAGTATTACCTAACAACTTTTTCGTTTCTATTATTTCGACAAGATTCAGATTATACGCACCTGTGGGCAGAGTTCACCTTTGAGCGCCGTCTCGGATACGCCTTCATTCAGATTTATGCACCGACAGTTCTAATAGTTGTCCTCTCCTGGCTAAGTTTTTGGATCGCACAGGACGCAGTTCCAGCTCGTGTAGCCTTAGGGGTTACAACAGTCCTAACCATAGTAACTCTTATGGGCTCATTCCGGTCTTCAGTACCTAAGGTAAGGGCAACAGTGTTAAGAAAATTGCATTAACTTTGTCCTCGTGTGTTTAACTTTGCGAATTGGGAAGGGCTTTGTGCCGACGGTAATGAGCACATTACTTTTGTATCATACACTTTTACAAGAAAACCTGTTATTACCAACAAGCATTTCTTTGAATTGTATCAATATCATCATCGTTATTATTATAGTTATTATTATTATTATCATTATTATCGTTCTCATTATCATCATCCTCATTATTGTTATTATTGTCCTTAAATCATTTATTTTTTTAGGTACAAAATTCCTTGAAAATCATCCACTTATATGCATTGGTATGCTTTGAAGAACGAAAGCAAATGGTAGTCCATATTCACACGGTTTTTTAGCTTTATGTTCTTCACTGCAGAAATTAGCGGCAGATATTTCAAAACATGCATCATGCATGGCTGATACTCCCCTCGGTCTACTCCTTGTGGCGCCAAAGTTTCTACAACCAAGAAGCCCATGACTGATCTTAATAATTGCACTATTTTTATTTTCAGCGTTCTTGATGCCTGCAGAGAAATGATAAATTGATTATTCCATTTTTCACACTTGGATTTCGTTTACTCGAATAATTGTCCAAGCTCTCTTTAGCTTTGCTCAAACAAAAATTCTTAAAGACGTTGATGCTATGATACAACCAAGAGCAAAAGCGTCTGCGGAAAATGTATTAAAAAAAAATACCAGACTTCAACCACTTCAGGCTTAGCTTTGTAGCGTTGGCAGGAGTCAAGAGTCTTTTCAAACAGGAAAATGACCTTGTCACCTTAAACGAAATTTTCCGCACGCCACTGTTGGGAAGTCATAACGACAAATCTTACATGTTTTATTCAAGACATAAGCTCGCGCAGAGTTCGATCCAGCCCACCTCAGCGTCTCGTAACAACGTCACGCGAGCTACATAAATACAGAGATCTCTTCGGCGCATGCAACAATAGGAAAAAAAGAAGAAGCCCAAAGTTAAGCTTCTTTTTTTCGTTTCCTCCTCTAGGTTTCATATATCAAGGCTGTCGATGTTTTCTTCATAATATCTTTGTTTTTCGTGTTTGGCGCGGTTGTGGAATATGTCATCTTGCGTCTTTATAGCGAGAAAAAGCTGAAAGGGCACAAAAAAGACGACAGTATGGTTATGGAAATGAGGCGTCTGAAACAGGTAACATACCAATTAGAAATTTCCCCTGAAGCATGACAGGCAGGGTGCATTTGAATTTTAAATGCGAAATACGACGAAGAAATCTTCATCAGGCCATCTGCATATTATCCTTCCTTTACATTCATCTTACTTCTTGCGGAAGTGGCTCGGTCGGTGGGGCAGAAATAAAAAAAAATTGGGGGGTGGGGGTTGGGGAGGGGGGGAGAAGGAGCTGATAGAGTGATGTGGTTTGAGTAGCAGTTTTTTCCAAACTTATTCTGAACCTAATCTATTTTTCACAGGTCTTGGCGCAAATTTGCGACTTTTAAAACCCACATAGAGCTAAGAAACTTTTCGTGATTACTGGTAATGAAGTAACAGGAAAAAGCCGTCAAAGAATTGTATTATTAGTGC